TTCGGGTACAGGCTAATAGTCTAATTGTAAGCTTATCATGCATAATTTCTCTCCCCACGTCCTCACATCTCACTTCCTCTGTTCCATAAGATATGTTTTCTTTTCTTGGCTCACGACATTTCAACATGTGATTGAGTATCTATGTATGACATAGATAATATATTATATATCAAATGATAATATATTATTTTATTAATATAATTATAATAATTATATATTTTAAAAAATTATATAAATTATAGAATAACTACATAATCGATGACATCAAAAAATTACATGAATTTAAATTATAATATATAATCTTAGAGTTAAACCGTTAAAGATCATTTTTCTCCTCAACATTTTTCTAGCACTGTTTGGGTATCCTCTAAGGTGGGGCAAATTTCATTTTTTAAATAATTTTTTTAGGAGCAGAGTTGTTATTTTGTCAATAAAAAAAAAAAACATTTGATCTCCTTCGTTAGCTATTAATGTGGAAATGAAATAGTCATCACCATACGTGGACCTCGCAATTATTTTTGACAAATGTTAACTTTAATTACTAACAAAATATTTTGATTAAAAATAAACCTACAATTAACTTTATCTATTATATCAGATTATTTTTAAAAGCTCAAAATATCTTCTTAAAATAATTAGATTTATGCTTTTTTTCATATTTTGATTATTTTTTAAAATTTTAACAAACATAATAAAAATAAAAAAATATTTTTTCCGCAAAAATAAATGATTCTTTCAAAAAAAAAAAGAAGCGAAAACAGATGGGCCCAATAAAACAATAGAAAGAGGAAAGCTAATTCAATTATTTTATGAGTTTACAATAATCAGATTTATGCTTTTTTTCATGTTTTGATTATTTTTAAAAATTTTAACAAACATGATAAAAACTCACAAAATAATTTTTTTTCCAAAAATAAATGATTCTTTCGGGAAAAAAAAAGCTAAAACAAAGGGGCCCAATAAAACAATAGAAAGAGGGAGGCCAATTCAATTATTTCACGAGTTTGCATATATTATTTTGAGTTTGTGAAAATAATTTGATGTAATAAATGAAGTTATTTATGGATATATTTTTAGTCAAAATATTTTGCTCCCAATCAAAATTAACATCTGTAAGAGATTCATTATATTTTGTTCTTGTTATCCACAAACATGAAATGGTTGTGAGGTCCACGAACTGCAACAACATTTCATTTCCATGTCAATAAATAATGAAGGAGATAAAATATTTTTTTAGACAAAATAATGATTTTGCTCTTAAAAAATACATTTAAAAAAATATTGTCCTATCCTATAGGGCACCCAGACACGACTATAAAAACGTTGAGGGTAGAAATAATTTTTAATGATTTAACCTTGAGATTCTATATTATAATTTAAATTTATGTAATTTTATGATGTTATTGATTATGTAATTATTTTATAATTTATATAATTTTTTGAAGTCTATAGTTACTATAATTACATTAATAACATGATACATTACTTTTTGATATGTAATATATTATTTATGTTGTAAATAGATATACAATCTCATGTTGAGATCTCCTGGGTTAAAAAAGAAAACATATATCGTGGAAAAGAGAAAGTGGGGCGTGGGGAGGAAAATTACGCATGACAGCCTACATTTAGACTGTTAGTCTACGCTTGAGACTTTCAATTTCTTTTAGACTGCAAGTATAGGGCTTGGTCCAGTAGAAATTGAGTTCCGTACTCTGATATTAAAAAAAATAAAATTTTATTAATAATATTTTTTTAATATTATCTTTTGATTATATTCTCTCTTTTCAATATAAAAATTTACATTTTTATTTTAAAAAATAAAATTATAAAATATATTTAATGAAATTTGCTGATTTATATAATTTTGTTTTAAGGTATCTATAATTTGAGATCGAAACAGTATGATCAATTAATGTATTTCCCTATTCATTGCACTACGGATTTGGAATTTTTTCAATAAAAATATCACTGTTGATATAAAAAATTTTGTTCATGAATAATTTTTAAGTTGTTTTGTTTTTAATTTTTTGGCCAAAATTTATAAGTTGGTTTGTAAGAACTTTTTTAACTATAGAAGCATGCTTTAACTTTAATAAATTTTCCTAATCCAGCTTCCTTAAACATTTAGTAGAAAAATTGCCATTGTACATTAATTTTATGATTACATATTTTTAATTGTATCTTTATATTTTTTTTACTTATTTCATATTTTTTAATAGTTGAATTGTTCACCTTCTTTAATTTAAGTGTCTTGACTTATGGAAAAGATTTAATTTTGAAAAAACAGTGAGAACCAAAAATATTTTTTAAAATTTATTCAATAACAATTTTTAAAAGAAAAAAACCTGCACACATTTTTCTTCCCTTCACTTTATCATCTAACATAGTGACGTGTTTTAGGAAAAAAAATATTTAAACTCTCTAAAGTTAAAAAAACTGTTAATTTCATGAATTTTATTTTTGAAAAAAGATAGATAAAATTTTATATTTTATCCATCTTTTTTACATTTTGCGTTGGCGGGGGTGGATTGGTTGTGAGTCAATGGATACATGTAATTATATTTTTTTAATATATGATCAATTCATTTAAAAAAGGATTAAATACATAATATCCTAATTACCCTCCCCACCAGGGTTCGGTGAAATTTGTAAAAACAACAATTTGCTCACTGTTAATTGATCCATTGGTTCACTAATGGATCATTACATATCAATAGCCACGTACCAATCTAAACTTTATTTTTTTTACATTAATAATCACATTAAGCTGTGAATTTTTTTAAAAAAATTGGCTAAATGTTCAGTATATTTAAATTAAAGGGAAAAATAAAAGAGGATAATTGCTAACAGAAGGATTGCAAATTATTGAAATGTTCGCTTAATTAAAAATATTTGAAAACTTTTAAAACTATAAATATGCTTCAACAATCTGCTTTCCTTAACATAAATAATTTATTTTCATTATTTGGACCATGAATCCATGATTCCCTGATATAGGAGCTTGAGCTTCTAGGCTCTGTCCATTTAACGATCTTGAGATTTATATGATTATTTGATCTTCAGAGATGTACAATTACAGTGGTATATTGTAGCAGTAGTGGTATATAGCAGTAGTGGTAATAATAATAATATTTAATAATATACTCAATAAAAGATATAGTGAATTAATTATTTATGAACATGAAGGAATTTTTTTATATTTTTACACGTAACGAGTTTTGACCAATTTTTTAATATTATGAAAATAATTAACATGGCCTTATAATTAAAAAATGAAGGAGAGAGTAATTGATGTGCTTGATGTTTTATTAGCTAATTTAAAAATAAGTCATATTATTTATTTATAGTGCATAATAACACAATTGATACATTTGTTATAATAATATAATCAAACAGAGACAGAGAAATCAAACACAAATAGTTTTATCATTAGAGTTTCAATTAGATTAAGGGGAAATTTTGTATCTATGTATTTTGCCATTCTCATTTCATCTGTAACTTTCCATTAGCAGTCTTGAAAAATTACATTTTTGAAAAATTAAGTTTTAAATATACAGTTTTGAGGAAATATATATATATATATATATTGGACAATTGCAATCAGGTCTGAAATAAAGAAATTAATTATTTCTCCAATCAATTTTTCACTCTAATTTCCATATTTTAACATTAAACTTTAATATTTGCAAGTGAACCAGACTTATAAATAATTAGTTTTTTTATTTGAGACTTATACATAATTCCTTCTGTTTTTTTTTTAATGAGAAAATCATTTTTTACCGTTAGGTTGGCCAACGCTCTTTGCCATTCCAGTCATCCCACTTTTCGATAGTTTCATTCAAAACAATAAACGAGTCTTTTAAGTCATATCACTCCATTTTATCTTATCTAACTACATCATCCATCACTGGTCAAAAAAAAAAAAAAAACTACATCATCCATCTTTTCTCTTTTGTTTTAGTGAAACATGTTATTACTGAAGGAAACAAGAAATTTTCTGTGGCAATGATGAAGAGCAACTTTTTCTTTTAAATCATTTTCATATAATTTTTTTTAAGAAAATCATTTTAATATTTCCAATAAAATATATTATTATATGTTATCATTAGGACTATTCTCTTTGAAGTCACAGACCGCATTTGGTAAAAGGTCACATTCAGTGTTTTATTTTATATAAAATTTTAATTTAATTTTTTAATTTTATAACTTTAACTTTAATGCGTTAATATTTGATAATATTATGTTAATATTTAAAAGTTAAATATTAATATTTCAATAAATAGTTAATGTCAAAAAAACTAAAAAATAATTCATAAAATTTAAAATAAATGAAATATTACATGAAGTTAAAAGATATATAAACCACACTTGTGCCCTTTTTTATTGTTAGTTTCCTCCTATCATAGATAATTATGTTTCAATTAATGGTTGAACTTTCTCCCAGTAGAAATTTAATAAAACTAACTCCTTCTATTATATTTAAGATTAAGATACATTTTTTATCTTTAAAGTTTTTTGAGAAGCACTCAATATCCTAACATTTTGTAAGAATAATTTTATCTTTAAAGTTATTAAAATAAAACATTTTTTTTTCTTTCTATCCAAATTTTAATTTTCCTTTTCTGTCAAAATTTCATTAAAATTTTGACAAATAGGCAAAGATTGTTTCATTTTAATAATTTTAATGGCAAAATTGAAATTTTGACAGAAAGAAAAAATAATTCATTTAAAAATTTTAATAACAAAATTATTTTAAAAAAATATTAGAATGTTAGGCGCTTTTAAAAGATATTTTAAAAGCAAAACTATATCTTTATTCTTATATTTATATGGATATGTTGTTAATAAATTTATTGAGATAAGTTGTCAATAAATTTTTTTGTTAAAAAAAAAAGTTGTTAATAAATTTATTGAAACATCGTCAAATGTTTAGTTCAACTTGATAATAGAGCCAACTATCTCAATGTGTCCCACGGGCGCTCAATCCCAGATTAGTCTAATCTCCGTTTAGCTCCCACCGCAGTTTCACTCGCGCAACAGAATAAAGAAGGAAAAAAAAAAAAATTTAAGCTCTGGCAGTCTGATCTTCCTCGTTCGTACTGCTACTTCGCCTTCGCCGTCACCCTCCTTCTCCCACCACCACTGTCTGTTGCCTCTCTCCGTTCAGCGCTTCAGAACTCCCTCTCTCACTCACACACAGCTCTGATTTCAACAATAATTCACTGTCATAACCAGCGAATGAATGAAAAATTATCTAAATAAGTAATAAACAGTTGCTAAAAAAGCAATTATTAGGAAAATCTTCTTCTGAAATACTATTAGTGTGTGGTAATGGATAGAAATAGTGATTAGCATAATTCTGAAAAGCCGGTTAATACTATTATATTTTGCTTCTAGAAACGGTGGTAGCAGTGGCGGAGCCTGAGATAAGGTACGCAACGCTGTGTTTCGTTGTCGTTACTGGTCATGGAGGAAATGTACGGCCTCCCGTCGTCCCCTGAGGATTACTCGGACAAAGCCATCATGACGCCCGACAATCTGATCTTCCCGGCCGACTACCAGAGCTTCCTCATGTCTTCCTCCGCCGCCGCCGCCGGCTTCCGTGATCGGATTCCCGTTTTAGGATCCGAAGAGTTGCTGTCCGCTGCCTCCGCGATTACCGAAGTCGAAGCCTCCGTCGCTGCTCCTGAATTTCGGCCACAAGAGGACTCTTCCTCCGTCATCAAAGCCAGAATCGCGTCTCATCCTAACTATCCTCGTCTCATTCAAGCTTATATCGATTGCCAGAAGGTGAATCGTTGTCTGCTAATTTTATTTTTTATTTTTCCCTTCGAGTGTTCTCGTGGTGCTTGAGATATTTACCAAAAGAAAAACCAACCCGAACGAGGACAAGCTGAGCTCTCTTCGCACATAATATCATCCTTTTGAGGATTTAATTCTTGAATTGTTTGTTGGCCAAAAGCTTCGGTGAGATTCTTGTGTGCTTGGATTTTGAACTTTCAATTCTTCGTTCTCTTGAATAATGCTTGAGAAAGTAGCGAAGCGGAAACCAAGCCTCATGAGTACGAGTTGAAGACTAGGCTGTGAGATTTGCTTGTGCGTTGTAAAGCCAAGCTCACGTTAAGCTGGTCATGGTTCTTCTTTTTCATATTTGCTAAGAGTTATGGCCTTTCATTTCTGAGCATATAAAAAACGTCCAAGTGACTATGAAAATAAATAGATATATTCATTTCCTCTTACCCTTGGAATGAGTTTGTGATTTTTGTTCTGGAAATTTTTTGAAACGGAATTTTTTCTTTGCAGTCAATGAACACTTAATATTTGGTACTAATTATTGTGATGATAATATTTTTTGGGACGGCATACGCAGGTAGGAGCACCTCCAGAAATAGCGTGTTTCTTAGATGAAATCCGGCGAGAAAACGACCTCAACAAGAGGGACGTTGTTTCCACGTGCTTTGGAGACGACCGCGAGCTCGACGAGTTCATGGTCCCCTCCCCTCTCTCACCCCTTTCAGTCTCTCTCTCATATATGCACACGCGCACACACAACCGCATATAGTTATAGAAGACGAAAATACTACTTTTATTAAAATTGTGTCTGTGATTTCGGTTTCTTCTCTGCGACCACTATATTATAATTATTAAAGATAGGGTGTCTGCCCTGGGCTTCATAGGAAACCTACTGCGACGTGCTGTTGAAGTATAAATCTGATCTTGCCCGGCCTTTTGATGAAGCAACCTCTTTCCTTAACAAGATCGAAACCCAGCTCACCAATCTCTGCAGTGGTGCTTCCCTTCTAAGCCTTCCCGGTCAGTTCTTCCCTTTACTCGCTCTCCCCCTCTTTCTTCTTATGCAGAAATATCATGTAGCCACTGAGTGTTCGTTGATATCTGTGCTTCTGCTCTCTTTCCCCCTCTTCCCCACTTATGATGCATTATTTCAGGAGAAACACATCTTGGGAGTACTGCTAGTTTAAAAACGTTTAAGGGGTTGTAATTATACCTAGGTTAGAGTATTAGAGTTGCTTAATGATCTCATCGCTTTTTCTGAAAGAAAACCATTGGCTAATGGCATAAATAATGCTTGTCGATTAGTCTTACTCTCTACCTATTAATATCACGCTTGCAATAATAGATAGCACGAATAATACTACACAGCTTTAAAGCAAAATAAGCAAAAGATATAACCCTGAGAATCAACAATATGATCTATGTTTCTTACTCCATTGCTTTCTTCAGCTAGTACAATGCTAGAATACTTTGCTTATCGGTGCTTTTACTATTAGCCCGTGTTCCATGCTTCTATCGTTATTGTGGAACTATTGGGTCTAAAAACAGCGTTATTGGAGAAAAGTTGGCGTTTGTTTAGTCATTCATGGCTAGCAACAGTGTTTAAACCTTTCACTTTTTCAGTTCGTTCTTTATATGGAATCATGAATTAATGACTTCTTTGGACTTGTCTTGTTTGTTTTGTTTATACGCGTTTTCTTCACTCTCATATTTCCATTTCATTAATTTTCTGACAGCTGCCGGTGAATTTGCATTTTGACTATAAACTTTTTTTGGGTTTATACTTTTGACATTGTAAAACTCCTTGATGATAGCATTTTTGAATCTGATAGTTAAAACGAATTTCACTGGGAAATACTTCTCCTGAGACCCACTAGTCTTAATTAGGGGGAAGTTTTTTCTTGTGTTCCATTTATATTCATCTTTTGATGATTTAATTAGACATTTGGGATTCTGATGCACGTTGGGCAGGCTGGCATCCACAATGTCATGCTCATTGCTTTTTTGTTATCATCTGCTTGTATCATTTTTTCTAGTCTTCAATGACAAATGACTTGTTTCTTATTGTCTAATTGTAATTTGAGACAATTTACTTTTTCCTAACGAGAATTGAATGCTGTAAGCTGTTGCCTTTTGTTTCGCTCATGAACTCCTGCTGTCATCAACATTTTTAAGTCCAGATTTTCCTGAACCTACTTCAAGACAGGGAGACTAATAAATGCTGTATTTGGTAAAAAATTTGAAGGTGATATTTTAGTATTGTTGCTCTAATACAGTACAATAATTTAGAGGTGACTTAGTTTGGACTTGTCTATGCTGTATTTAAATTGTTCGATGGAAGTCTTGTTTCCTACTCAAAGATTAAACATGTAGGAGGATGAAACAGTAGCTAGAGACTCAGGATGCTGTATATATGGTAGAGTAATGCTGAAAAAATGCAATGCAAATTAAAGTTTTATATTGGGCTTTATATAGTACATATTTTAGTATTCCAAGATGGTGAGTATCAATGCATCATAAAGTAATTCAGCACTGTGGTTACTTAAGCAATCTAAATGCACTATCGTTATCTCTTTATACTTATTAGATGTCCTCAATCTTCATTATAATATATAGTTGCATGGATATAGAACTTTATTTTCTCTTTTTTTAATTGCACTTGGAACTTTATGGCTAAAAGTTTCCTCAATGGCAATATCCTAAGAAATAGATTAATTCATATCTATTCATTCTGGATTAGATGAACATATATAACGTGATCTGACAGTAATGATATGTGATGCTGTCTGCCTTTGTAATTTATTAGTGTATCAAGTTCCAATAGAGTACAAGTGATGACAGTGGAAGTGAGATAAAAAAAAATGATAGTTTAAGGTGCTGGAAGTCTGATTGCAGAAAAAGTAATGTCAGTTTTTCCCGGCCCCCTCTTAAAAATTTGTAAGCAGCTTTGGGTGATTAAAATTTATAACCATGATATCCAACTATATTTCCGTTCAGATAGTCTGTCTGGCATTGTAACGTTCAACATAATATTTTTATGCATGTGGTGATTAAGCAGTACATTGCCTTAAGGACTCAGTTAGGCTATTGGCTTCTATATTCTGCTTCCGTAAGCCCCAGCTATTCCTACTGAAATCCTTGATTAGGTTCCCTTTCATCCTATTTAAAGTTATAGCAGAACACCCGTTAATCTGTTTTGCCTGAGCTATAACTTTGATTATTTAGTTTTCTTCCCTACTTGTTCTGATTATTGACAATTGATAATTAACTATGAATTATGAATGAGGTGCTGCCAAGGGCGGTCAGGTTGGTTGTCATTGGTAACTAACAATTTTAACGTATGAACGCAGAGATTTCCTATGGTCATGATGTTCATAAAACTTTAAATGCCATCTTGACGGATGTTGATAACAACTCCGAAATCTTCATGTGCCTACCTATATTCCTTCGTGTAAAAACATATAGGGATGGTATGTGCGGCTATGATATTCTTTTATTTTTTTAAATTGTCTCATATTCTGTGTTGTACATCGGATTGGAGACCTGGTGTTTTGCATTAGTTGCATGCCTTATTTTAGTCTGTTCTAGAGTGGATTTTTTCTTGAGCTTTACATGTCGCTGTTTCATTTGAGCATGGTTGACACTATTTCGTTTTATGGTCATATAAAATGTACTTCCTGGTTAAGCTTAAAATCTATGGGATAAGATTGCCGAGGAGAAAAATGAGTTTTCCGAGTGTTCTTTTGCCACCTTGGTTCGTTCCTTTATTTTCTGGTATTTATCTAGGAGTTCCAAACTTTTTTCACTCTATTTGGGGATATATGAATATTTTAATTTAAACTGCATGGAATTTCACGTTGAACACGTTGCTAATAAATCTCTCATGTCACAGATGTCTCTATTCATTGTTACTTAAAGTTGAACTTAAGACTTGATTTGGCGTTCATCAATATAATAAGACTTTGAGTATTGTAATATGCTGCATGATGACCCCCATTCTTTTTGGATACCCGGGAGCCGTCACTGTATCCATTATCCAGTGCATGTTGATGATACATGCATCATCACTCCTTGATGGCTGTTTCATGAAATATGGAAATTGAGTTCCTAAAATTTATTTGAATTAAAATGTATTGGCCCTTTCTATCCTACCATGAATCTTCAATATATTATATATATATATATATATATATATTATAAAATTGGAATTCCTAACACTATTCATAGTTGTCCACACATTGAATTTTGTGTTTCTTATATTATTTGTCTCTTTTCTTTTTCGTGTTTTATATTTTTCATTATTGAAAAATTGACACCTTTGCCCATAAGAAAATTTGAGACCCCTTTGCAAAAGCAAGGAGGTAATTCTAGTTGTTTGGTAAATAACCATTGGCCGTAATATCTTCTCTCTTGAAAAAAATTGGGGCCGATTATCATTTAGTTTTTTGTGTCAAAAATATAAGATTTTTTACAAGGTTAGATATTAAAAAATATGAGGTTTTTTTAACTGTTTTAAAGTGTAATTAATGTTTTTTTCCTAAAAATACTCTATGATATGTAGATTATTTAATATTTATGGGTTAATGAGCATTCTAGACAGTAAATTATTATTCGAATAACATCATGAACTTTGAAAATGAGCGTCTTGGATCATACATAGTTATTTGAATGGCAAATTATCCTTTGCCATTACTTTACATATAATTGTTATTATTTTTGACTTTGTGGGGTTCAGTCAAAGGTTGAAGTGGCACTCATTCACTCTTGACATGTGGCATGTCGATAGGGTTGCATAACTATCAACATTATATGGGTAAATGACAGGACGTAATTTGCTCATAACTTATAAGTGAGATGGGAGATTTTGTTCATTTTAAGAGTTTAGAATTTAAAATGTTATTCGAGTAATAGCTTAAGGTTTAGGATGTTTATTAATCTTATATTTATTTTAAAGTGAAACATTTCATTATAGAAAGATAGTGCTTGTTTGAAGGCAATTAATTAATTTATTGTGTGCGATTCAATTAAATTTTTTTTTTCTGAAAGAGAGTATAAATTTGTAACGTTAAGTTTCTTTTGAAGTAAGGTGGCAGTTATTGGTTACATTGATGTTGGTGTAACTTCATGGTCCATGGCTCTAGTTCCTAACGATATAATGATCATTAGTCTGCATGGCCATGTATGCGGTTTTAATAAAGAGCCATTGTTTGTTGGGGTTGAGATTATTATTATTATTATTATTATTATTTTCTGGGGTCAAAAGAGATTAGGTGTGTTTATGCAAGCCTTGAATGTGTAATGCCCCTCAGCCATCAACATGCTACAATGATCGTTAGTCCACATGGAACAAGAAGTCGTCAATTTTTGTTAAATTTAATTGGCAATTAGTATTTAAAATGACTTTGAAAATTTTGACTGATATGCGAAACAAATTTAAAATATATTTTAGACACAACGAATATTAATCATCCCAAACTTTTGTGATGGAATCACGAATTATTTGGTTCTTCTTTGTTCAGATATTTTTTATTAAATAAGAATTAATGGTTTGCCCGTGTGTAAAATTTGGGAGGAATATTTAACACTTGTGATAATGAATGATTAAGTCGCACTGTCATTGAGAGAAGAATATCCCTCTGGGTTAATTTCTTTTTGCCGATGTGGACCTTCAGCTTGCTGTGTTTACTCTCTGACTTTCTTCTCATCATGAAGAGCTGGTATTTAAAGTAGTAAATCCTTGGCTTCTTGTTAAAAAATAACATCTAGGTTATGCTTAGACCGTTGGATCTTAGCCTTCCACTCTGACAAAGTTGTGTTTGGGCCAGTATTATATGAGCTTTTGTTCCATTCCAAAGCTTGTATTCTGTTACTGTTTCTTGAGTTTCTTTAATGAAAATAATGGTGCAGTTCGATGATGATAATAGATGTTTGGTGGTAGTAAATTTTTCTTGCACTAACTTTATAGAAAATCCCGAGTGCAGCGCAGCGGGTGATCGGCAAGAGTTATCACTCTCACATGCACTCCCGCAGATTTCGCTGGGATATGAGGCAGCTTTTTGGCTCTCAACTTAATAAAACGTTCAAGCATTTGCCTTGCCTCGCCTTATCTTCCCCCACGCACCTGTGTTGCTTTCTGCTTGCCATTTGTTCTCTGTGTTGGGGCCCATCCCGGGCCTCTCTGCCAGCTTCTGTGTTTACTTAATGCTTGTTGATCTCCCGGACCAAGTATGTATGGGCCCCTGCCTCTAAGCAATCTCATTCTTTCGTCCACCTTTACTGTACTTGCCTGTTGGATCGGCACGTGTATGTCTACTTTATTGCCTGGCTAGTCTACAGGAATTCTGAAAACAGAAAATCGTCATTTAAATATTAATGTTTGAAATAGTGTAGCACTTTAGTTAATTTCACGTACTTGAAATTGCTGCCATTTCATATATATTTCATATTCGCATTCATAGCTCCTAGGGATTGGTGGCTTTATCCCCATTTCCCCCTCTCTAACTCGAGAAAATTTCAATCTGCGTGAGGGTGAAAAATAAATCCCAGAAAAGGAAGGAAGGAGGAAGAAAGCTATATCAATGCTTGAGCTGGCGCACTATGTTTTGTTTATCCTCAATGTACATCATTTCAAGGCCTCTTAGCTTGTCTGGTCATCTAGGCTCCTTGAAGCTAAGACGGGAACACTCGAGAGCTTCGATTGGCCCGATTTGGTTTGGTAAATTATTTTGGAGGGACTCTCTTGATGGCTCTGAGCGTCTGACTGACAATTGACGGACCCAAACAGACACTGTTCTCTCTCTGATCTCATTTTCTTCCTTCCAACATGGGTCCCTGGTTTTGTATAGTGTCCTCATGCAATGGTCTAGTACTTGTCGGATATAGTGGGCTAGTGGCTGTCAGAAACCAAAATGTGGGTGCTTGTGGGCTTAGACCAGCACCACCACCTCCGTCGCCAGTCAGAAGCAGATGTTTCTGATCTGAGGAGACGATTAGTCTGTTTACCTTTTGGTACCCGTTTTTTTTATTTTTTTTAATAAACAAATGATTGGTCAGGTGAGGTAGGCCCCTAAAGTGTATGTTTATGAGTCGGGCACGCCCACTTTTTTAGTGCGTGCATGGAAATCAAAAGAGGAAGATGACTTATTTGTTAGGTTCCTAAAAGAGTAGTTCAGAAATTCGAAAGAGAAGTAATGATTAAAAAAATTAGAAGAGGAGTAAATGAAGAAAATTGAATGCTTTATTATTTCAAGTTGTAATTTTGTTGTCATTTAATTTTCAATCTTATAATTTCAACTAGTATATGTTCCAGTAATATTCGAATAAAGTACCTTTTTTTAAAAAAAAAAAAATCGGGCAAGATGCATCTGCCCGTATATACATATAGTTTTTCCCTTCTCATAAATTTTGGGTTTAGGCTACTAAATTGATTTCTTATAATTTGCCCCCTCGCACCAGCCTCGCGGGAGTTGCACTTGTCTGAGATTCTGTGCTTATTTGTATGTCATAACTAGGCGCATTTTTTCATTCGTAATACAAATAAAATAAATTGCACAAATTATAGCTTGTGATTTATAGCTTATAAATAGTGGGATTCCTGAAAAAAAAAAAAAGTAGTGACTTCTTAAATTTTATACAGTAAAGTATATTTTTGGGATGTTTTCTACATCATAATATTCTGTTACTGTAATTTAAGGCCATCTGTTCAGGATGCCATTAAAACATTGTTTACAAGATTTCTTTCACATTACTGGCTATTAAGTATTAACAAGTCTAGTCGCTCGACCAGTTGGCCTCATTCAAGTCTAAATGCTTGGGTGAGACTCTTAGGGCTCATATATGAAGCCGCCTGTATAGTTTTATAGATCTATTAAATCATTGTGTACGTAATGCATTTTGCCTCCGACTGCTAGTGTTCTGTTTTCATATTGTGTGAAATGGTACTTGCATCTTTATTAGTGAGAATTTTCATCCTAGCAAATGAAAGAAATCTACAAGTCAATTATAATCTTTTTATGCTGCTTCTTGAATATTTGTAAGAGCAACTGAAAGTCTAAAGTTGGCATCCTCATGATTTTGGTTTTTACAATTTGGGTAGATGATGGAGGTGTGTCTTCAGAAGAAGATTTCAGTACTGCAGGTAGAGACACTCAAGATGGTCAGGCGAAGGTTGAAGATCAAGAGATTAAGGACAGGCTTTTACGCAAGTTTGGGAGCCGTATTGCCTCTTTGAAATTGGAGTTCTCGAAAAAGAAGAAGAAGGGTAAGCTACCAAAAGAAGCCAGGCAAGCACTGCTTGAGTGGTGGAGTGTTCACTACAAGTGGCCATACCCAACGGTAATCATTTATTTGCCTTCCGTTTGCTTGCTGCGTGATTATGCCATTCCCAATTATTTTGGCCTTTGAAGGGTGGAAATTACTCACCTTGTATATTCACTTCCAAATTCAGGAATCTGATAAGATTGCTCTGGCCAAGTCCACGGGTCTGGACCAGAAGCAAATTAACAATTGGTTTATTAATCAGAGAAAGCGCCACTGGAAGCCATCTGAGAACATCAGCGCGCAATTTTCTGCCATGGATAATCTCACTGGACTTTTTTTTACTGATGAATGAGGTTCACTTACACATGACAGTCTCAAAATGTATATCCTGATATTAACTATTAATTTCTATCATCTGTATATTTTAAACGCAGAATTACCGACATTGGAAGGCTTTTACTTTCCCGTGAAGTTACATGGGAATTGATAGTAATTCCCTACCTGTGTATTCTTGATAAACTTGTCTGGCGTTAATAATGAAATGTTACATAAACTTTGTGGGTTAGTTGCCTTGCTTTCCTGGGCTTTGCTGCAATTGCTCGATGATGAATTGATGGTAATTCTTGTGTGTGTGTGTGTGTAGACAGACAAATCAGGGGCCCTTTCATGAGGCTCACCAAATTGAATCTCCACATTTGTAACTCATTTAATAAATAAGCAACGATGTGTTTGTTGTATTGAAATCGGGTGTCTGGGTTTCGTGAAGCAGATCTCAGAGTCACGGCAAGGGCTTAGAAACTTAGAATTAATGGCTTCTAGCTCGTCAACAATGGGATGTAGGTGAGATCTGCAATAGTTGGGCATGTGTTGTGATGTGACTTGATTGCACTCGTGGCTCGAGGGAAATGTATGTGCAAGGACGAGCATTATATGCAAATGGTCAAGGGAGCACTTCTGTTGTTTGAAGATTTTGGGCTCAATGGAGTCTGTGTTCAAAGTTATTTGGGTTGATTTTGGTCGTATGGCTTTGTTGTTGGTCGAGGTAGGCTTTTGCATTGTTCTTCGGAGCTTGCCACCTATTGGGTTGCTGGGTTACGTTATGGTTGGTTGTTGCAGTAGGTGTGTTTTGTCTTGTTGTTGGGCCAAATTGATTACATTTCTTAGGTTGGGTATTAACAAAATTTCTCATTTTGTTTCAAGATTCAAAGAAGAAAAAGAAGAAGAAGAATGGCTGGGACTTTGAAGAGATGGAGAGTAAAAAGTGATGGATTGTCTGTAATAGAAGGATAATTATAAATAACCAAAAATGTTTGACAAAAATTGTTTGGCATGACTGACTGATGGGAGTTTGTACTTGAATAAAGGTATATTTTTGTTCTTGAAATATTTTTCGAGGAGTACCCACCATTTTAGTATTTTTATTGAAGTAATTTTGTCCATAAAATTATTAAAATGAAACAATTTTACTCTTTCAGTCAAATTTTAACGCTGACTATTAAATTTTGATGAAAAAGATAAAAATATTTTGTTTTAATAACTTTAAGAGTAAAATTGCTCCAATAAAAATGTTAAAGTACTAGGTGCTCATCCAAAATACTTCTGGAGCAAAAATTTACCTTAACACTTTGTATTTCATATCCCCTTATTTGTTTGGCTTGGAAGGGAGAGATTTTATTTTAATAAGTTCAATTTTTTTAAAATTAATCTATATATCTATATAGTCTTTTAAATTTTGAATTAGACCCCTATAATTTATTTTATTTTAATCGAGCTCTTATAATTTGATTTATTATATTTAGCAATCCTTGAATACAAAAAATAAAATTTACTATTAAAAAATGAAATTAAGAACTGTTATATTTTTATGAAAAGATTATATAACTTGAAAATTAATTATATAATTTTTTATAATTCAAAATTTATATAATTAGACAACATTTTCTAAATAATTTTTATATGTATAGAATTTTCATATTCATATATATATATATATATATATATTCTTTTTGACCAAAAGTAATTTATATGAACTGTAAAAGTTTTTTTTTGAAAATTTAATCATTTTTAAATAATTTTAATTGATTAACGTATTTGAGAGATTAATCTCAAATATCATGGGAGCAGTTGCCATCTAACTAGGCTTTAGGGGTGAGCATTGGTTCAGTTTGACTCTAATTTCTCCAAAACGATCAACCAAATTATACAAGAAGTTTGGATTGAATCGAACTGAAATACTCAATCAAATTGAATTAAAATCAAATTGAATCATAATTGTTTGATTTAATCTATTTATTCAATTAATGGGCTTTCGTTGAAGTTTATCAAGTTTGGTTGTGCACATATTTTCTATCCATTTTCCCCCCCTAATGTTGAAGGCCCAACAAAAAAAAAAAAAGCAACATTATTTCATATTCCACCAGAAAACTAATAAAACCAACAACTCGTGTTAAAAAGTAAATTATAGAAATAAAAAACAAAATAACACATTAAACAAAAGATACTACCATCGCAAGTGGAAGAGTAGAATACAAGAAATGGAAAAGCAAACATGGGGAAAATAGATGTTTCGCTTATTCGCTTTTTCAAAAAAAATAAAAAGAAAAAATTATATATAAATTATATATAATTCAATTGATTTGGTCTATTTAATTCAATAATTTTTAAATTAAACTGAATTAATCTATCAAAATTTTTATGAATAGAAAATTGAATTGAATCGTGTAACGGAATAAACTAAACCAAATAGATTTAATTCAGTTTGATTCCATTCAATCTTTAGTTTTGATCTATTTTGCTCACTGCCCCACTTTTTTTTTTAGGGTGAGATTCACCCTTGGTTTGAATGGGAAAAAAAATTATAGAGGAAACAATAATATGAAAAAAAAAACTTTTAAAAATATTTTTTTTACTATTTTTAGAAATTTACATTTCTATCATTCCCTCCGCTTTATCTTCCATTCATCTTTCCCATTATCAAAGCCAAGCATTATCTCTCTGTCAATGAGCGTATATGTATACAGGTAAATAGGCTATTCTATCACCTGACTGCTACTCCATTGAGTGATCTTTCACTTTAGTGCTACTAATTTTTTTTTTTTTAAAAAAAAAGTTAGAGAAGAGAATGGAAAGCAGAAGAACGTGCCTCCCACATTCCTTTTAGAGATAAAAACTCTCCCCCTCCTCAATAACAGAACAGACACCCACCAAACACACACTGACACACACACACACACACAAAAACAGCAGACCCATATAGATACTTTGCCTCCATCAATATTTTTCAATACAGTAAAATTACAGGGCATGAAGAAGAAAAATGAAAGCTAAATTACAGCATCACCTTCCCACAATGAAAAAACTATAGCAGAAGGGAAGCTTCCATTACACACAAGACTCAAATAATTAAATCTGAAAGTCCACAAATCTCTAGTAACACAAACTATCATGAGACCTAGCTATCTTCTTGATATAACCACCACCACTTCTCAGGCAATAATCAATGCTTGAAGGTTGCAGGCTGCCTTGAGATTTCCCATAAGAGTTCCAACACAAAGCTTGTTGAAAACCTCTGTATCTCAGTGATGGCCTTAGCTGAATATCAGTTAGATCAATGTTGGTGCAAGGTATGGAATTGCTGCAAGCTATATGAACAGGTTGATATGAATAAGTCCCATGAATTTTATCAAAATTGACACCAGAAATCACCACTGTTCCTGTCTGGTTCTTGCACACATGCTTGTCACAGTAGTATTGATCTACCATTACTGGAATCTTCACGTCTTGCACTTGGACTCTTGAGAATGACACATTCTTCACCATCCCAATACCACCCTAGTTCAATGCAGGAACTCAGATACCAACATGATTATGTTCCAATTCACTTAGTAGATATGGAAAAAAAGTTTGTTCTGTAATTAGTTCAATGTATAGTGTATACCTGCCATGTTTTGATCCTTACTCCATATAATGTGTTTTGCATTGAAACATCATTAACCATGATGTTGGAGACACATGCCACACTTTTGTCTTTTCCTAATCCTCCTACGCTGAATTCAGAACAATTAAAAGAGACAATGATATTAGTAGTTTTCTAATGGGAAAAATGAAATTTAAGGACTTCCTAAGAATATTAATTACAGTTAAGGATCCTAAAATTATAAAATTTCAGAAAAATGACCATAGCCTTTAGTTGGGATTAAAATTTTTTTGATTGAATATTTTTGTACTCATCTTTCAAATTTTCAATATTCATCTTTAGTATTTTCAGTATTCAGTTTTTTTTTTCGGTGGTCATTTTTTATGTTTTCAATACTCATTTTCCATAATTTTAGTTCTGAAAAGAATTGAAAATAAGTGTTTTTCAGTGCTGAAATCATAGAAGATGAATATTGAAAACATCCAAGATTATTATTGAAAAATTAAAAAATTGAGCATTGAAAATACTAAAAATAAGTTCTAAAAATGTGAAAAATGAGTACTTGAAAAGAAAAAGATGAGTACTAAAAAATTAACTGAGAAAATTTTTAATTCCAGTTAAAAACTATAGTCTTTTTCTTGGAATTTCAAAATTTCAGAATGTAAATAATGTTTTTAGAAGGTCCTTAAATGTCATTCTTGCTTTTCTAATCTTAGTAACAATAACGATAAATAAAATAGAATACCATTAACTTTCGCTATTATTATTATTATTATTATTTTACCTTATACCATGTCCTGGGCCACAGATAATATGGTGAATATGAATATTTGCGCAACCAGTTTGGATGGATACACAGTCATCTCCTGTTCAATCGTGGAAACAGCACTGGTTTGAACTTCTGATACAAGATTATGAGAATCAAGTAGAAAAATAAAAACTATTTGTACTAGTTTAATTTAATATGATTCAAAGTTGGATACATAGCACGCTCACAGTTTTGCAAAAAATAATGTTGGCTCTGTAATTGGGTATATAATTTTTTAAAAGCACGTTTCAAAAGTTATCTGTTGTGACCGTTTGCTGTTTAAAACTCAAAAGGTTTTCTCAGTCAATAATTGTCTTAGTCATGGTAGACATATTTTAGCTCAGAAAGTCTTTAGTGTGTAATGCTGTATGCAGAATCATTAATAATTTATCTATTTTGTCAGGTAGGAGAGGAATGTACCATCACTAATATACTCTAAAATAAGGTCAATTGCGAAGTGTAATATGGTGTGCCCCCTCCGGTCTCCGGACCTAATTCTAAGACAAATTTAACTAATTTCACGACTCTTAGGAATGGTGGTTAATATCTTTGAACTTGTAAAAAATGTTTGACTTTCCAATCTTGCTCTTCGTTGAAATTAATGACCACAACACAATAAAATATGCCTAAAAATTAAAAGGTTGTTAGCACTTGATGCAATCAAGGAGAGGCAATATTGGAAAAAAAAATTAACTCCTACATCTTTGCCTCATATTTAGGATCAAATAGGACTATAAAACCTTGCCTTATAATTAAGACTGGAAGGAGTATGTTTAATAATTAAGATTTTCTAGTAAAATATAAGGCATACCACTTCCGATGTTGGAATGTTGAATCTCTACATCCTGTGAGTTCTGTAAGTGAATACCATCAGTGTTTTGGCTATTTTCTGGGGAAGATATTGTAATGTTATTGACTTTGATCCCTTTTGAATTGTCGAACTTTAGATGGCACAGAGGACTATTTATGATTTTGATATCACGAACTGTTACATCATTGCTGGAATAAAACCTCACAGCCTGCACACACACACACAGACATATTGGAAATTATCATTAGCGAGAAACACCTGATTTATAATGGAACACATTACATAACAAAGATGTCTGTCTCAGACATGTGAGAACTTACAGTAGGTTTCATGCTTGGAATCTGTTTAGAATAGTATCCCTTCTTCTGTGGGAATTCATTGGGGAAAAAGGGTCAGTTTCTTGTTTTGAACATTATTTAATAAACTTTGTTCAAAGATACTTGAATATACGCATTTTTACTTTTCTGCTGAATTATACCTGCATATGATAAATCTGTGAGGTGGTCCACCAGTTACAGCCTTGGCCATTAATGGTGCCAGAACCTTGGATGGTGAAGCTGTGGATGTTTTTTAAATTTATCCACTGAAATAAACTGGATTTTGGCCAGGAAGATATTGCAGGAGGAGCTATCAGAGTTCCATCTATCTGTATAAAGTTTACAATTGATTCATTTCTATGAAACATTGAGATTCTCCAAATGTGAAATCTTTTTGATGGGACCCCTTTTTTTGGATTTATTCTTTCAGCCTTTAAAAATTGTATTTGGCTCTAACTAATTCGAATCCTGTTAAAAGGGATCGCTTTTATTTCTTTTAATTCACAAATCTGGAGCATGAGGAATTACATGAAAATGGCCGTTAGATTTTGGTTTCATGGACCATTTTAACTTTCATTCTATTGGACAAACATTCTAAGTTACATAAAATTTACCAATACTTTAATCATAAATCTCTGACATTCTGCTCAGCAGAAAGTTTGTTGGGTTTGACTGTAAATGTGGCACAAATCCATGAACATCAAGAAAGTTGATACCATAGAGTAAACATGTAACCTTTTAACAGTAATATTAAATAATTCAATAGAATATAAATTTCCTCTTGGTTTTCTTTGCTTTGATTATTGCTTCTTTAAGAATTAGTAAACTAACAGTAAAAAAGAAGAAAGAAGCAGACCTGAAGAGTAAGGTTAGGCATACAAGGGCCTTGTAAAGTAATGGGCTTGATTAAGAACCTGTGTTCTGCTGGAATTTTCACTATAGCACCATCAACTTTGCAGGCAGCTTCCCATGCTGCTTTGAGTGCCTGCTTTAATCAATCAACATTGCACTAACGTTAGAGCTTTACTTATCACAATCGCCTGACAGATTCTTCATACCTAAGAATCTCTTTAATTTGTTTGTAAATAATGGTTACTTTTGCTTTACCTTGGAATCATCAGAAATCCCATTGGCCTTGGCCCCAAAAGACAGAACGTCAAAACTGGTGGTTTGAGTTTGAGTTTGAGTTGGAGGTGGGGCAGGGCTTGGAGAATGAGCAAGGTGGCCATGGCCATGATCTTTATGAAATTTATGAGGCTTTGTGTTCTTGGTGTGACTCTTCCTTGCTTCCACAGAAATGATACAAGAGTTCAAAATGACATGAATCAGTAAGAAGAGGAGAAAGAGAAGAGAATTGCTACTGTTTCTCTTCATTTCAGTTCAGGGAAACTTAGGTGGTATCTGTATGAGTATGTATGGCAGTTATTGACAGTTTATATAAATGCAATCTTGCAAGACTTAACAGTCTCCTTTATTTATTGTAATTTTCAAATGAAGCACTTTTCTTTAAAGTTGCTAAATCACTGATTAAATTACAAGAGTGGACCCCATTTCCAGGGTCTAGTTGGATTCCCTTGTTATATAATATGAAGATTCCTGTCAGTAATTGGTTTGGCCCTGTATTTTTTTATACATTCTTCTTCTTTCTTTCGTGAATCCTTTTGAAGGGCTTGCAAAACCAGAACTTTATCAACCTGCGGTCCTTTCTGAAGTTGTGACTTGTAAGGGATGGGCATTCATATATAACCCCACAATGTAAAAAAGATGATTTTATCATCGTACATAGTAAACTAAACTAAACTAAACTGGCAGTTGCATACTAGTTTATGTTTGGTACATGTCGGAAACAGAAATTAGGACTGTTTTCACTCAGTTTTAGTGCAGTTATTTTTTCTGCTGAACATAAAAAATAATTAAAGTAGGATGGTAATTGGCAATGATTTGAATGCATATATTTGAGCCAGTTTTATTGTAACACTAATTACCATTTTGTGTTGTTAACAAAATTACGGATCTAATCATTATAAGCCGCAACTTAATTCAGAATGTAATATGCATTATTTGGTTTAGTGGGAAAATGGATAAGGAAATTATGGTCCTTTCCATTTAAGATATAGTTACCAACTCACTAGATAACATAGTTTAAAGGTTTTAATGTTGTTTATTCCATAGTTAAGTTGCTGGAACTGATGGGATAATAGCATTGCTGGATCAGTCTTTTGTGATGAAGCAAAAGGCAAACATTACCCTAATCCCACCATGAGTTCATATAACCTAGTTATTAACACAAATTCATAATTATCATCATCATCATCATCATTATAACTAGACCCTTTGAAAGCTATTTCTTAAGGGTATTTTTTTAAAAATCAAGATATGCATGAATTTAGAAAAACAAAACAGTGGTCTTAAATTTCACCGCTTTACCGAAGTCAGCACATGTGGACAGCTGATATTGCTTTCTAATCATGATGAAATCAATTGAAATATAATTAAGCCTGTTTTGAGTTTGGCAACAATTGAGAAAGTGGTACAATGATGGAGGAGTATGTATATAATGGATAACCAAGTCAGTACAGCGTGCTTGCTGAAAGCAGAAAGTGGATTAAAAAGTGCATTACTTTTTTCCTGTTGAGCAGCTTAGTGCATTGTAGAGCTAGTGTAAGACAAAACGAGCCCAACCTGGTTTTCTAGTGGTCTTAGGTTTTCACTTTTTAGGTTATAGACAAATCAAAGTTGGCCACAGAAGCACTGACTCTTAACTAAACTAAGAAAGTCATGCACACCACAGAAGCGAAGATAGGACAGACACTGCGCTGGGTCGGAAGCAGAGGGTAGCTTTATTGTATTATGATTTATAATTAGAAATATGGGAAGGTGGTTTGCACGTATATATTATTATTATTATTATTATATAAAAAAGTGTAGCTTAATATATGCAAAAATATAAAAGATTAGGGTTGAATGAATTGGGTGTTTGTGGGTTAATTTGTCTTTGTTGGTGCATGCGTGTGCGGGACCAGTCGGTGCCACTTTGCCACCCGTCTGCAAATTCTCACAACAATGTGTAAATGGCTAATCTCCTATAAATATCATGAAAATTTTGCTACGACAAATCATCACAAATTTACGATTGAAATTTCATAATTTATAACTGAACATGTCTAACATGGGGACAATATGATCATTTTCCATTTAAAGAAATTACATTTAAATCCCATGGAATTAGAGTGAGGGATAAAGATCGAGTTTAAAAGTCTTGTTTAAATAACAGTTCAGGCTTGAAAAATTGTGGTGTTTTAAGGGGATTGAACTTTCAGGTACCATCCTAATAGGCTTTGGAAAAAATACTTGCGCTCCAATGGTCCTCCAAGGCCTCTTCCCCTTTTTTCCTTTCTCTCATTTCAAGAGGATTGATTGGCTTGGCACCTAAAATAAAACCCTAAGCACACTCATGCTACACAATCTTGAACTCTGCAATCTATTCTTCCTCTCAACTTCTTCTCTCTCTTGGCTCTCAATCTTGATAGAGGACTCATAGTCCTCTCACCCTTCGTCTCATAATCTCTGATTCTCAACTTCAGGTGATACTATGGGTACTCAATCACAATGCTCTCCCTCACAGTCTCACAATATGCTCTCTCTCTCTCTCTCTCTAGTCATGATGCTGAGGTGCCTCTACCTCACATCATCACAACTCAAAAGAGAAAGATGAATTCAAGTTTGTGGTGAGTAGTCATCATTTTCTTCCCCCACCTTTCATTCTTCTTTTTTTGCTTCCATTTTTTTTCTTCTTTCTTTTTGTCACTACATCTTCTTCACTAAAACTAGAAAAGAGTATGTAGAACTAAAAATGAATTGGTTCAAGTATTGTAGTGTGAAAATAATTGATGTTAGTTCTTTTTTCATTTATTTTAACATGATGTTGATAGATTTTTTTACTAATTTCTTAAGCATGATTACTTTATAAAGCATATTTCTTGGTTTTAATTAATATTGTACTTTGTGATACACAAGTTTTTGCATTTATTAGATTTGATAAGGTTGATTTGGATAGAACCGGTAATTTAAGCCAAGCCCGATGGGTTAGCCTGAACCCGCCCGAAAAATTTAGGGTCAAGCCTGAAAAAATATTATTTTTTTATTATTCGGGCCTATTCGGGCTGTCCGAATAGGCTCAAGGAAATTCAGGCCAAGCCCTATTGGGTTTAAGCTTGGCCTGAATACCTGAATAAAAAATAACTTTTTTAAAAAATATATAAAATATGATAAATATTAATTAATTTTTCAAGTTTTATATCATTTTATACCAAAATACTATATATATATAAGTGTTTTAATATAGTTATTTTTTTAAAAAAAATTAAAAATAGTTATATTTCATATTTTTATTATTTTTAATCAATAAAATATCTCAAAATAATATTTAAAATATATTTTAATATTTTAAGACCCAATTTTTGTTAGAAAAATTTGAGTCCTATAAATCATTTGCATATAAAAAATAATTTTATATTTTTTATAAATTAAAATAATTAATTTTAAAGTAAAAATAATTTTAAAAATAAAATTTAGGCATGTACGAATTTCTGACTCTACTACTAGATAAACATAATAAATAAAATAATATTTTTGAATAAATATTTGGTTATTATCCATGCCAGATTTGGTTAAAAATTAAGAGTAAATTAGAGTAAGAATCCCTTTTATATAAGAGTTAAGCAATATAAAAAGTTAAAAAAATGATTTCAAAAAAAATATTTTACTCATAATTAAATAATTTTTTATATAATATAATGATGGCAATTTTTTTTATATTCATAAAAATGAAAAGTATAATTTACCTAAAAGTTATTAAAAACTTTGAACTAATTGGGATAATAATTTTAAGTTAGTAGTCTAACTGTGATTGAATCGAGATCAACTTAATTATAATTAAAATAATATAATTTAATTAAAATATATAAAATATTTATATATGACTATGATAAGAGCAATATTTAAACAATTAAGACATTAATTTATAAGTAAAAAAAATATTCATAAATAAATTATACATAATATAATAAAATAATAACAGAGCTACTTAAATATAAAATTGATAAGTCATTTTTATTTTATTCTTTTAAAATTAAGATAATATTTTAAGCTTAATAGAATTATTTAAAAATTAAAATTGGTTCAAAAAATAAATAAAAAATATTTTAAAAAAGTTTTGGGTATTCGGGCCAGCCCGAATAAGCCTGAAACCTGAAGGTGTTAGAGTCAGGCTTAGCTATATGGGCTTTTTAGAAGGAGTAGGATGCTTTAAGCCCGATTTGAATAAGCCCGGCCCGCCCGAATTACCGGCTCTAGATTTGGATTGAAAGTTTTTGTTTTTATTTTAAAACTTTGATTAAGATTCTATATCTGAATTTATATTTATTTATGTTATTAAATTTTTAAAAAATAAAACAAGCTTATGGAACCAACCTTGAGCCATTCAAATAAGAACTGAGCTTTATAAGTTGACCATTTTTTAGGAAATTGGGTTCAAGGGCTTGAGCCCCTATGGCCCAAGTCCACCCCTTTGCCATCTCTACAAGGAATGTGATTGTGTTATTATAAATTTACTCAACATGCTTATAAATAAATTTCTTAGTTGGGACATATATAATTTTCTTTTTGTTAAAGTGTTTGATAAGTTTGTTGTCTTGGATCACAAACAAATTCGGAGTTTCAAATATTCAAATTAACTACAAAGAAATAGTGCATTACTAGAAAAATGCAAATTAGCGAGAAAATTTAGCAAGGGATCATCTATTCCTCTCTAAAATACCAAGTTAGCGAGAAATTAGTGAGGAATGTTGATTTCATAGTTTGACTTAAAATTAGCGAGGACTGTCAATCCCTCTCTAAAATAAGGGAATTAGCGAGAAAAATAGCGAGGGACTGTCAATCCCTCTCTAAAATAAGATAATTAGTAAGGGATTCTATCCCTAACTAATTACTACAAAAAAAAATTATCTAAAATATTCATAATAAAATTATTTAATATTTTCTTTATTTTAAGTTGATTTTCATTAATAAAATAATATTTTATTAAAAATATAATATAAAGAATAATTTAAATAAAATATAAATATTTTTAACATATTAATAATTGAAAATAAAATTTAATATGTATATGTGTGTATTTTTATAATATATTATTTGATATATTTATGTAGTTAAATAATATATATATATATATATATATATTTAATTTATCATATAATGCTTGTAGGTGCCTTTCAGTTCAACTGGTAAAGAAGGAGAGCATAAAGCTTGAAAGGTATGAGATCAAGGGTTCAAACCTTGGCTTTGGCATAAACATGATGAATATATGATATGGTAAGGAGCAAGTGAC